GAGGACACCCGGCACACAGAGATGGGGAGACACAGCCCAGGGCACTGGGGTCACTGGGCCATGGGGACCTGTGGCACTGGGACACTGGGCCATGGGGACCTGTGGCACTGGAGACCCCATCCCATAGCACCGGGGCCACGCAGAACTGGGGACCTCCATCCCATGGCACTGGGGACCCTGGGCACTGGGGACCTGTGGCACTGGGGACCCCCATCCCATGGCACTGGGAACTCACAGCCCTGGGGACCCCCATCTCAGAGCTCTGGGTACCCCCAGCCCTCATCTCTGCCCACCTCCCGAATCTCCCACCCCCTGAGCCCCTCGTGCCTTGTCCCCCGAGGCGCCGGTGAGGACAAAGGTGGAGAAGACAGGCAGGGGGTACTTGGTGCCCACGGGCCAGCTCTCGATGGTGGCCCCCATGGGCAGGCAGAACACAGGCACTGACTCGGGCAGTGGGAACTGCTCGCTGTCCTGCTCGGGGTACCGGCCCAACAGCCCTAGGGGACACAGACAGCAGGATGAGACCCCCGGGTCACCTCCCCCTCCGCTCAGGGTACTGGCCCAGGAGCCCTGAGGGACACAGGGACACAGGGATGAGACCCCTGGGTCAACCCCCTGCTCAGGGTACCAGCCCAGGAGCCCTGGGGGACACGGACACAGGGACACATAGACACTAGGATGAGCCCCTCAGGTCATCTCCCACACCCCAACAAGGAAGGGGTGCCCAGAGACCCCCAAACCCACCCCCCTAAAACCTCCCCACAGTAAGAGACCCAATTGCCTCCCTGTCCCAGTAAGGGACCTCATTGAGACCCCAGTAAAGGACCACATTGCCCCCCAGTAAGGGACCCACTCCCCTCCCAGGAAGGGACTCCGCTGCCCCCCCAACAAGGCACTCCATTTCCCCCCAGTAAGGGACCCCATTGTCACTCCCCCCAATTAGAGACTCCAGTAAGGTATCCCCTTACCCCCCCATCCCCAATAAGGGACCCCACTACCCCCCTCCTCCCCACTAAGAGACCCCAGCTTCAAGGGCCTGACAGGAGGAGTTGGGGGGTCTTCAGCACCTGAACTACCTTCTTTTACTTCCCAAAACGCCTGAGAAGGCCCAGGGCCTCCACCCCCCCGAAATCCATCACGTGCCAGATGGGGGGGGGAGTTAATTACCATAAAATATACTTTTAAGAAAAATAATAATAATAATAAATGATTCCAAGGTCCTTTTGGGGGGGGTCCAGGCCCCCCAGCCTTAGCTCCCCACCTGCCTCGTAGACCAGTGTGTTGCCCTTGGCCACGGCGATCTTGTAGCACAGGAACAGGGCGGGGCCCCACTGCAAGGAGGGACCAGGATTGGGATCAGGGGGGTCAGTGTATGATCAGGGGGATTGCCAGGCACCCCCCCAGACCCACCATGCTGGTGTTAAGGTTCCTGTCAACACGGCAGAAGGTGTGGGGGGTGGTCTCCCCTTTGCTGGGCATGACGAGGCAGATGTCGGTGACGCCCAGGCTGTGGTGCCCGGGGGGCTCAGCCGCGCGCCGGAACGTCAGGAACGTGCGCTGGTGGCCCGGGGAGCCCGAGGCCAGGTTGGCAGAGCGGCTGTAGGGGGTTGTGTCCAGGATCTGGTAGCCCGGCTTGGGCCGGTCCTTGCCCTCGTAGTGCACCCTGTGGGGGACAGGGGTGAGGGGGACCCTGGGGGGCTGCTGTGACC